TTGCAGAGAGCCGTCCCGCCGCTCGCAGCAGATGGAGCCGCCCCGGCCAGTCAGCTGGTCCGAGCCGGTGACGAGGCAGAGGGTCTTGCCGTGCGCCGTTCGCACCTCCGCGAGCCCCGCCTTGCCAGTCGCGTTCGAGGCGGCCGAGGCGAGTGCACTCGGGCCGGCGCACGCTGTGGCGTTGCAGCCGTCGTAGCGGAGGAGCGGGCCGGAGCCAGAGGTGGCGACGAGGACCGAGCCGTCCGAGCGGGGCAGCAGCGCCGTCGGCGGCCAGAAGGGCGACGGCGTCGAACTCAGCAGCGTCTGGCTCCCGTCCTCGGGGCTGACTCGGTACAGGGCCATCGACTCGCTGCCCCACGAAATCGGCCGCTGGTAGAGGAGGATGAGCAGCGTGCCGCGGGACTCCTCGTGCGCGCCCAGGACAGTGGGCGCGAACTGTCCGTAGTCCCGGTACGGCAGCTGCGAGATGTACCGCAGCCGCTGGCCAAAGGGCGGTGCGTAGAGCACAAAGGTGATGCGGCGGCGTGAGTCGTAGCCGGTGAGGTAGAGGCCGTTCTGCGGACCGAGCAGCACGTCGTGGACGCCGTCCGGGAGGTTCTCGTAGAACACATAGGACGACATCCCCTGCGCGCGGGTCGCCCTTCCTTTACCGCCTTGCCAGGCTGCCGCGAGCTACACCGACTCGAAGCCGACCATCCCGAAGCCTCTCGCCCCAAAAAGACAAGAAGAAAACCCGAGTCGTGCTACGCTAGTCTGTCAGTCAGTGAGTCTTACACACCTCCAAGCATGGAGGACGGGCCCACACGCACACACACGCTGCACACGATTGGCTCGGGAGCCGACACGAGGCACACTGTCACCGGCCTTAGCACCGGGTCCGGACTGCTGGACACACAGCACGCAGCTCACAGGACAGCTCACGAGGTGGCGCTACATAATGGGGTTCTCAGGGACTGACACGGGAGAAGAAGGTGGAGCACAGGGACGGGGACACAGAACTCACGAACTGATATCCCACCCCGCGCCGGGGGCGGTGGCGCGCGCGAGGCCGGGGTATATTTGGACCCGCAGTCTAGCAGGCGCCAGGCCACAGACCCGCCGGCAGAGCCTTGAGCCGCATCCGTCCGCGATCCGCGCCGGCTCTCAGAAGAGATTCGGCGCGGTGCTGACCGCGCCATCGGAGTGGACCATCGAGTACTCGATGGCTGTCCAGGAGAAGCGGTGCAGCTGCGGCATATTGTCGCAGTGCGGCATATTGTCGCAGTGCGGCTGCGGCACTCCTGCTGCAGCGCGCGCGCGCGGTGGTGGTGAGGAGAGTGCGAGCCCTTGAGCTGCTGGGTCAGTCCATCGCCGGCGCATGCGCCGGCCTTGAGGTGGTTCCCACAGCAAGCTGGCCCAGGGGCTGTGGCCCTACGCAAGGCGCGCAGGGAATTGCCGATCGTGCCGGTGTCCAGCCGGCCCCCAGCCGGGCCCGCTCGGGGAGTTGAAGGCGGCCGCCGGTGGTGACGGGGGCTCTCCGGAGAGGCCGCAACGCACCACGCGAGTGGCGGCCGCCACTCCGACGCGGCGCCGGTGGCGCTGCGCACCACCACCAAAAGTGCCCGCCCAAGCCACGGGTAGTCTGTCGCGACTACAAACCCCGAGGAGGCACACAGACTCAGACACACAGGTTCATCTGTGTGAAGCTTTCTTTTCACCTGTTTGAATGCCCTACCTGTTCTAATCGGGGTTGGGTCTGTCACATTGTTCCTTATGTAGGTCCTTGCCT